AGTTACATGAGGATTATGTTCTTTGATTTCTCAAGTGCGTTTAACACCATCCAACCCCCCATTCTTAAAGACAAGCTGGAAGGGATGGGGGTGGATCCCTGCTTCACGTCCTGGATTGTGGATTACCTGACAAGACGACCACAGTACGTCAGGCTGGGTAACTGTGTCTCAGGGACAGTGATGAGCAGCACTGGGGCTCCACAGGGAACTGTTCTGGCTCCGTTCCTGTTCACCCTGTATACGGCAGACTTTAAATACAACTCTGAGTCCTGCCATATCCAGAAATACTCGGATGACACAGCTATTGTGGCGCGTATCAGGAACGGGCAGGAAGAGGAGTACAGGGATCTGATGATGGCCTTGAGTGAATGGACAAGAACTGCCTCCTTCTGAACACCCCCAAGACCAAGGAGATGGTCGTGGACTTTCGGAGGTCTAGGCCCACCCTTCAGCCAGTCAACACTCGAGGGAAAGACATTGAGGAGGTGTACACTTATAAATACCTAGGTGTGCACCTGGACAGTAAACTGGACTGGTCCCTGAACACAGATGCCATCTACCTGAAGGGGCAGAGCCGGCTCTTTTTCCTCAGGAGGCTCAGGTCCTTTGACTTTTGCAGTGAAATGCTGCACTTGTTTTATCAGTCAGTGGTGGCCAGTGTACTTTTTTATGCTGCATTCTGATGGGGCAGCAGCATGTCAGACACAAAGAGACTGGATAAGCTGGTAAAAAAGGCTGGGTCTGTGCTTGGCAGGAGCCTGGACTCACTCAGGACTGTTGTGGAGAGACGCATGCAATGTAAGATGGAGGCCATCTTGGACAATTTTTTATTCTTTAGATTTCTTTTCTTTTCACCTCCTGAAAACATGGTGGCCCTTGTTTTTTTATTCTCAAGTCTATGGTTCTCAATAAAACAGAGATATAAAATTGTTATCTCTCTATAAGAGTTGCTCTACAAGGTAGTTCATGTGTGATATTTCCCTATATACCTTAACCCAGCCCTTTCCATGTTTTCATAAAACATTAATGAGATTTAATTTCATGTCTCAAAACTTTAATGTAAACTTGTGTCTAGTCTGAACATGTTTAAGAACAACGTGTTTTGGGGAGTAACCGGTGTGAATATTTTTTTTTAAATAGTCATGTTTGTCACATAGTCACATATTGAGGGTAACACTCATCATTTTTGAATTAAGAAACAACAGCTCTTCAGTTTTCCGCAGTGAGCAGTGTGAACAACCTGCTGCTGTGACACTGGTGAACTTGCGCTACAGGAAGTAGACTGCAGTTGTTTGATGCTCTACCTCTGAAGTCAGTGGCAGCTCAAATAGGCTTCTATAATGTCTTTAATATTTATAATTTAGCCTGTTATTTTTCTCCACCAGATGCGTTAAGGATGGAACACCATATCATCATCACGGATTGTGTATTAAAAGGAGAATCCAACCCTTTTTAAGAATTCACATTTCTTATTCCTTTGCCCCAGAACAGATTTGTGAATATTTGTGAACATGCAGCACTCTCCTCTAAAGTTAGAAACCAAAGAGAGAGCCTTATAATGTGCAATGACACCCCAGTTTGTTTTGTTTATGGATTTTTGCTGCTGCTTGTGAACATTCCTTTACTCGCAGCAGATTTTGTGTCACTTGCAGCTCTTTTTTTCTTAACTTCATGATCGCTGGTTTACTCTGTGGCCATGAGAATGTGAGTACTCATGTGTAAATGTGTCATTTAATGAAAGAGTGAAGGGCTGACATGGGGAAAATAGCAGGAAATTAACAAAAGCCATTCAGGCCCACCAACAGAACAGTAATGGGCTGCCTGGCACGTGTGGTGTACTTCAGGCTTAATGATTTGAATAAGTGGATACGAAAAGTAAACTGGGGAACAAATGAACGCAGAAACTTTTCAGTTTCAGAAATCGAGTGAACAGGAAATGAAGCGTGTAGGAAAGAACCAGAGCAGAGCACAGCTACCTGAGTTTAAGAACTGCCCATTGCATTGGGCTGAAAACGCAGCATTATCCCTTTAAATATGGAAGATAAAAGCAGGACAGCCACAGTGAAGCCATGCCTGGCTCTGATTACAGTCCGCAGTTTAAAAACTTCACCCAGGCTTTTATATCCTGTTTGCATGAAGAAATCAACTGCCCTGTACTGGACGTAAGTCCGACAGTAGTGGAGGCTTTAAATTTAGTTTCTCAGCAAAGTGGTTCAGAAAAGGTTAATTTCTTTATGTTTCATGTGAACAGTGTGACATCTACTGGCCAGAATGTAAAATAGGCAAACACAAAGGTTTGTATTATCCCAAATTAAATATCAGTATAAGGGAAACCATGATTTTATATTCTAAGCATACACTAATAGCAATTACTCTAAAAACAATCAAAATGTTTTCTATGCATCAAATGTGTTAATGATTTTGGAAAAACTCTTTTTCATTTTAAGAAATAAAAACTTTAAAAAACTCAAACTGTTGTTAGCTTTACTTTTAAACATCATCTTTACCAATACTGCAATGGAAAGTTTATTTTATTGGTATAATTACGTGTTTTCATCGGGATGCCAGAACCCACCTCAGGCCAGTACCACACCTTGTGGTCCCCCACAACCAGCAAGAAATGGTAAATCATTGGCATGACTACACACAACACCTGTATGGGCTCAAATCAGAATCAAAGGGATTTGAAGATGTAAAGTGATGTTCACAAATAATTCCAAATGTAGTTGAAAATCAACCTTTGTAAACCTGTAAAATAAATCTGCATGAGAAATTCAAGTGAAGAAATTGTGCATGTCTAAAAGAGATTTGTATTTATAAAAAAAAAAAAAAACCTGAGAACAAATGACATTAGTGGTGAGGTAAGACAAAGACACTGTGAAAGAAGCGCTTTTGTCAATGTCTGTGTACAGATACAAAGCAGAAAACTGTAAGACTTTGTGCTCACAGTTCCCACCAAAGTTACAAGTAGAATTTTGACCCTATTTTCACACCTGAATCTGATTGGACAATCCATTCACAAAGCAGAGTCCAATCAGAGGGAAAGCGGTTCTGTTATAGATAGATAGATAGATAGATAGATAGATAGATAGATAAATATATACTTTATTTACCCCCTAGTGGAAATTCATGTACCTTGATCTCTGCCTTAGATCCTAAAAGTTGTGGTAGATTGCAACCCTGCACAATCATCCATCTTGAAAATTTACTACACCTTTCAGTATCTACAGCGGAGACAAAGACAAAAGAGCCACCACCCCCCTTTGCATGTTGAGTTTTACTGTTTTCTGCACTGTATCTCTACACAGACATCCACAAAAGCATTTCTACTTTCCCTGGGTCTTTGTTTGACCTCACCACTTATCAATTTTTCTGTTTTGATTCACATAGTCTTTTTTTTTTTTACAAATACAAATCTCTTTGCCACAAGCACATTTTTTTCATACACACAAACTTGAGTTTCTCAAGTAGATTTATTTTACAGGTTTACAGAGGTTACTTTACAACAACAAACTTTGAAATTATTTGCAAACATTACTTTACAAGCTACTGGGGGCAAGCTAGCGGCCCATGGCCAACTGGGGGCAAGCTAGCCGGCTCCTCTCTTTTATTTTTCATTTATTCTTTCTGAGTAAACATCTTTTCTAAAATATGCTACTGAATCTAATGTCTCAACATGAACAATGTTATTATCTATATGAATTTCTATCTTTGTTTATTTATGTCATCTCTGACTGGATATTTACTATAAAGGTTGTTGATGGAGAAGTGCTAGTTGTAGTCCCTTTAAGGTACTCACCAAAACAAAAATCATATACAGAAATCATACACCATGAAACTATTTTTCAGATAGATAGATAGATAGATAGATAGATACTTTATCTATCCCCTAGGGAAATTCATGTGTCCTGTGGCTCATTACTAATAACAATAGTAATAATAGTTAATAATAAATAATAAATGTGTCAAATGATAAATAAATGGCCTTGTAACCTTTAACTTATTTAGTATATATTGTGCTTTATAACATACTCCGTACTATTAGCACCTGTAAGAGATGAGCTGGGACTGACTGTACAGGACTAACGAAGATAACTGCCAACTGATTATAGCCTACATGTAGAGAATACAAAATATTGACTGGATGATTATAATTAACTCAATGGTAAAACAAATGATACAAGCTATCTCTTTACAGGTTGGATGGGTATGAAAAGGAGTCTGTTTACAATGCATCTTCATCATCATCACAGTGTATAAAATCCAGCACCCTGCTTTCATTCACTCAGTCCGCAACATGTTTACTGTTACCATGGCAATAGGTGCCGGTTTAGTATTTAACGTTAGCTTAGCCTACATATTAAAGATGAACAATAAAAATGAACACAAAAAATATTAACAACAACAGCCATACTATCAAAGACCTTAACCGGGTCCTGTCACTTCATAATTTACAACCGTTAACGAGTGCACGTTACTTGTCGGTGATTATTTGGGGAAAATAACAGCTCATACAAGACTGCATTACTTTGAAAAGCGAAAATGGCATCGCATGTCTTAAAACTGTGCGTGTACGTAAAATGCAAATCTAAAAGCGTAGAATTAAGATCTACAAATGCTTTTTCGCTTCACAAATGCCTGTTTGAAAGTTGTAAATGTTAGGAAGATATTCACGAATGCTTTCAATTTATTTGTAAATTAATTGAATTTATTTACATTTATACGTTTTTATTCGTGGAATCTGTGTATTTGCTGATCCGTTTTATATTTGCAAGATATTTTTGTGAGTTTACAAATTTATTTTTGCATATGTGAAAGGTGTTTTAAATTTACAGATTACAACTTATGCACTGATTTTAAATCTGTTCACACAAATAATAATGAGACAAATCTATCTCCATACATACACGCAGAAAAAAAGGAAAACACAAATGATGAACTACATTTCCCAGAAGGCAAAACGCTGCAGACAGATGCTGATTGGCCAGCGTTGGTTTGTCGTTACCTGCTCAAACAAACAAACTAGCAACAGTTAGATGAACAACCTATACCCCGACAACAATCATGCGAAGAAAAAACTTTTCAAAATTGCTTGTTGGGCTTTTCGTGTCTGTTCACTAATAGACATCTTTAAAATATAATTGAGGTTGGAGGTAAGATTCTTTCATTGATTGCGAAGATCATACTTTACTGAACTGCTAAAATGCTAATAGCATTCTATGCTATACCAGTGACAGTTAACAGCTAACATTAGCATATAGCTAACTACTGTTTGCATCTCGCTACTACTGGTTTAGAGTTATCTAAGATATACTCATAGCAAGAGAATAAAATGACGTGCTTTGGACGCGTCGCTTCATTTTGCTTGAACTATATTTTGAAAATGCCAGTGAGGTAGCTCGGCTAACGTAACGAGTTAGCGACCTGTAGCCTTTTCTGCTGAGGTTGCTTTGAAACGGACTAAATCCATTTTGACTCGGGTAAGTACTTTTCCCACATAACAGCTCTTCTTGCATTGGAGAAGATCAGTCTATGTAATCTATGTGTATATTTACGGTGTGAAGCGTTTTTATTGACTGGACTTATGGTGCCATCACGTGTTACTATTTGGAAACTGCGACTGTTGAGAAGAGTAGACTTGTTAGTCAAAACTGCTCATCTCTCAAGATGTTAAAGGTTTGAAGAAACTCAGCGGGCCTTTTTCAAATGTCATATCATAATGTTTTCACTATGCAGGATTAGTAGTGATCGTAAGATGAATTTCTCAGAAGTCTTCAAGCAATCCAACCAACTTTGTAAAGTTTCCCCAGATGGGAAATATTTGGTAAGTAGTAAACTATATACTAATTTGTAGTTTTGTAGTGTGTGATGGAGTATAAATAATACTTTCAACTCCCTTTTAATTCCCACAGGTTGTCAGTTACATTTTGTAAAAGTGGAGGAGATTAGAGGTCTTGTTTTTTCTGACATGGCTCGGGTTGTCCTCCACAGGCTACCTGTGTGCAGTACAGGCTGGTGGTGCGAGATGTGAGCACCCTGCAGATCCTGCAGCTCTACACCTGCCTGGACCAGATTAATCACATGGACTGGTCTTCTGACTCTCTCTTTATTCTCTGTGCTATGTACAAGAGAGGACTGGTACAGGTAAGTTATGAGAAGGAGACACCAGTGTGAGTATGAGTATGCTCAGTCATATACCTGTTAGGTTGCAGTCTGTCTTCGTCTGTTAGATTAATACTGTTAGTGGCATTATGATTGATTAATTAATGGTAATTTTGAATGGATGAAATAGTTGACCTATTCTTGCCTTTATTCATAGTTGGACAATTTTACAATTTTAGCAATATCAAGGCATCTCTTTAAGCTCCAGGAGCTTGTAGTAACAATTATGCACTGTTAATGTTTGTGTTAATTATGATGTTTAATCGATTAAAAAATTAACTAAGTGATATAAACAATAATCCAGAGATTAACCAACAACAAAAAAGTTTGTCACAGCCTTAAAATACTATATTTAACGTACAGTATTGCCCAAGAAAAACACCAGATTTCTGCTGATTTCCAATGCACTCAAAATTTGACAAAATTAACATTTTATATGGTTTTTAAACAATACTTGGAGAAATCGTCTTAATCATTTATTTACTGTGTTGTACTGTGTACGTTTTGATATGTTGGTAGATTGGTAGAGAGTACATTTGCTTTCGTTTGGATTTTAGTAGTTGATAAAATCTTTCAACTTCTAAGTCTAGACATGTGAGAACCTGGGTCTTAAAGGTGCTGGTTTAAGAGGTTGAAGTTGGCAGACAGAAGTATTAAGATAAAACAACATAGTGAGGCAACATTATTGATAAATATTTTAAAGTATCATCCAGGCTGCAGATTTTCTTTTTCTTTTTATTATGGTTAGTAGGGTTTTTTAGCTGAAGTTTTTTCTGATAGACCTAATGCCTTGATGAAATGGGTAAAAATAAGATGAAGTGCTTTTCAGGTGGGATTGCATAGAATTTACTGCACTGAACAGCTTCAAGGCCTTTGTTCATCACATCCTGTGTTGACAAAATTTAGAAATCATTTAATCAAATACAAAAAATAATATAAAATAATATTCTCTTCTAAACAATTATTTTGTGTTTTCACTGGCCGTGTTTATTCATTTGTAAATTTCACTTTCATATAGTGCAGTTGCCCTGTTGTGCATCCGTTAGAAATGGTCCAGCTGTTATTTTGTGCTAATTTGTTGAAAAGCACTTTACAGCACTGTAGATGAATTTGGATTCAGAAGAAAATTCAAAAACTCATTGTTTGTACAAGTCAAATTGTCATATTGTTTGGTAGTGTTTCATCATTACTTTAATGAAACATGTAGAAATGAAATTCACCATTTATCACATAAATCTGATAAATCTTATCATTCATTTATACTCTATTTAGACTAAAACTTTTTAAAATTCTGCATGTTAGTGCAATGTCACTTTCATGTGTATCACAGCGTAGGTAGCTTACCTTTGAAGAGGTATCCAGCACCAGTCTTTCATGATTTCTGATGGTCAAGTGTTTCTTACTGATACTGTGGGAGATACAGGATGTGTATGAGGGATGTCATCAATGACGGCTGGTTGCTGTCCTTCTGTTACTCTTCCACTTCTCTCTGTCTTTCTCTTCAGGTGTGGTCTCTTGAACAGCCGGACTGGCACTGTAAGATTGATGAGGGCTCAATAGGACTAGTCTCCTCGCGCTGGAGTCCAGACGGACGTCACATTCTCAACACCACTGAGTTCCATGTAAGTGTGAAGTTGCTGCGTGCATGCGTGCATGCATTCATGCACACAGAAGTGTGTTTATGCAAATGCTTGTCTGGTTTCAACTGTTGCTGGCCCGCAAGTGAGGGGGACCTGAAAATAGCCAGACACCAGAGCCTTTCTTGACTGCCACTAGACCCCCCCCCCCACCTGCTGCATGTATTCAGCCTGATTTCATAGCTCCCCTCCTGTTAGCATCCTGTCATACATGGGTCTCAAGTACCTCTTGAACATGGGTGCAATGTGTATGTGCCCTTCCGATGTAGGTCTGGGGGTTTTTTTTGCAGCAAGTCCTTTTAATGATGTTCGATTACTATAAGCTATTATACAAAAGGTTAAAAATCATGTTTTAACAAGTGTTAATCAGCCAGCCTGAGATACTTAGTTAGATTGCTCCAAAAAATCTACTGTGATTAAATAAAATGGTCTAATGTTTCTACCACTGTAGTTGACTCAATGCAGTGATATCAAACCATAAGTCACACTTTGGAAGCTACTGAAGGATGAAAATTAGCTTATATCTGAGGTGTTTTTTACACAAGGAAAAATAACTGTGTAGATTAATTCATTCCTTTAAATAGAAGTTTTGATGAAGTTTCACTCCCTTGTATAGAGCAGCTGTCTGATTAATATAAGGGCCAAATTAAAGTCAAAAGATGTTGAGTGTTTATAAAAGTCTGCAGAATGAACTACAGATTAGTAACGATGCATTTAGGTCCACTCTGTGCCTATCAGTTCCTGTTTTAAATTCACTCCACAGTAACCACGTGTTGTAATGGCTGAGCCGCTACACTTGGGCAATGCGGAATACGATGGGGGCACCGTTGTCGACCACGTCTGTAATGCTGAACCTGACTCCAGGAATCATTTGACAGGTGTTGTGGCCCAACACACCACTGTGTCTGGTCTGGAGTGGGGAGCAGGGAGTGCAAGTGTCTGTGGCATGTCTGCTTTGTGTCTGTCTGCATCTTCCAAAAAGGAAAAAAGGAATAGGACGGAAAAGAATGGAGGCTCCTTCCCTAGACGTCTGACTGTGACTTGACTTACAGTCATCTTATGTTTGAGCAAAGGAATGAACCAGTTCAAATAATCAATATCAAAGTTGTTTTTTTGTTTTTTTTTTTATTCCTCTGCATCAGCAGCAGCCAGGGCCGGAATCATGTTTTTGGGTTGTCCTTCTGTCCGTCTCTCCCATTCTTGTGAACACAATATCTCAGTAATGCCCTGAGGGAATTTCTTAAAATATGGCACAAATGTTCACTTGGATGCCAGGATGAATTGATTTGATTTTGGTGGTCAAAAGTCACTGTGACCTCACATGATACGTTTTTTTGCCATAGCTCAAGAATTCATATGCTAATTATGAAAAACCTTCACACAAACGTGTAATAGGATAATATTATGTTCTGCAAGAACACTTCTGGATATTATTCAGTGCTGTAACTCAGGAGCAGAAGGGGAGATTGTGATCATATTTGTTGCAACTCAACTGGTTGGTGGAGGCATACAACCACAAGTACCTTAGTAAGTGTTTTGCTGAAATGATCAGTTGTTCAACAGAAGAATAATATTCTGATTATCAATCTGTTGTTTTTAAGTAATTTTTCAAACAAAAATAAAGAAATTCTGAGAAAACACTGTTGAGTGACCAGAGAACAGTGACAGTAAATTGTCATGGCCAAATTTCTTTTGAATTATTATTGGGTATTTTTTAATGCTTTTAACGATGAGAGATTTTCATGGTAGTCCATGACGCAACATCTTCTCACCTGTAGTTCTGCATTGCCCTTATCACTGGTATTGATATGAGGTGGAAGTTTTAGTACTTCTTACTGTTATTGAACATCCTTTTGTAGTTGAGGTTGCAAAACTACTTTACCAGAGGCACCAGGCTACCACATTGCCAAGGGGCCCGCTGAACTTGCCTTCACCCCAGCCCAAGATTTCATTAAGGCTATGCCAGACGAGTGTTCGTGTCAGGCTTGAATTTCAGGCCCACTCATAAACAACCCGCTATATTAACTTGTTTAGGGACAGCTGCCTGTGGTGTGGATCGTGTCTCTGTGTGTGCGTGTGCGTGTGTGTGTGTGTGTGTGTGTGTGTGTGTTTGTCTGTCTATGTGTCAGTAAATCTGCTTAGCTGGCTTATGTGTTTGTCTGTCTGTTTTTGTATAGATGTTTTAGTTGTTTCCTCTTAACCCCAAACAGAATATCTTCAGATCTTTCTGATTTGTAGCTATACAATAATCTATAAGCCATTCTCTTACTGTCACAGTGTAAATTGTGAGCTAAGTATATTGGTCTGTGATGTTAACAGGGATTTCATTGGCAGCCCTACACAGACTACAGGTGAGCACTGCTTTTTCAGGCAGCTAGAAATGCTCTTAAGCCATTCCTTTATGGCTTCAATGTAGAACTATTTTGTTTTTGGAGGACATGTTAAAAAAAAAAACAGCTGTTTTAAAATATAGTATGGCACAGATTTAATAGAAAGTCACACTGCTGAAACCTAGCCTATGCATTGTTAGACTTCACGCAAGTCGTCTCCTGTTTGAATTCCGATCATTTATCTTAGGACCTCACAAAATGTCACTGGCACGTCCATGTTAATCCACCTTTACCAGCTGAGGGGTGATAAACTGAGGGTGGAAAAACTCTAGCCAAGGACATCATTGAGCTAGATCTCTCTAATGGTTTTTACATTGTTGGGATCGGATTAGCAATAGCATTCTTGGCCAGTACTGCTGGAGCCTTGCTAACGTGTAGCATTGTTGGCAAAAACACTACTGGACCAAACTGCAAACGTAGACAGCTGCTGCACTGCATCATGGGACAATAGCTCACTCATACCTATGTGTGGGCTGTGGGAAGCTCCAGTTCCTTGGTAGAATCATGAGGCTGTAACAGGAGAAATAGGCTATATTGGTTTCAGATGGCTTCCTATGTGGAATGCCTACAGTCTAATCCTCTGCTGACAGATAGGCCTATATGGCATCAAATGCACTTGCCCATTCTCTTGCACTGGCCTCGGCGCACAATAAGAATGGCTGATAGATATGTTTTATTCCAGGTTGCTGTCATTAACTTTGGTCTGCAATTGATCGTAGTTATCATGTTGCCCACAGGCTGTTCTACTGTGGTTTTCTTGTTATGAATACTTACTACTAAATGGATGTGCTGGTAGAAATTAGCCACAATTATCCTATTTGGCAGTGTTTTAAGAAACTTGTCATGTCAGATCATGTCAAGTAAAGTGTTGTTATTATTGTTACTGCTCTTAATTATAGCTAAGGGCTTGAAAGGACAACAGCCATGTTATGAAACAATAATTTGCTGCCCATTTTAACACCCATTTAAAAAAAATCCCACAAGCACTCTGTCTGGTAAAAATGCATGCGTGTAGTGATCAAAACAATACTAAAATAAAACATTGTACTTGTATTTAATTACAGCCGGTTCTGATCACCAGTTGCATTTATATTAACCCCGGCACTGAATTTTTCGCTGTTGTAGTGGAATTTTGCCTTTTTACACCACCCTCAAGTCCTTAGCCCCCATCCCCAAGCTGCTGCTCACCTTTGCTGAGGATACTTCATCTAAAGTGTAGCTTTACCAGCTAAGGATCTTATTGCATACCACCCCCCATGGAAAAGCATTTCCCACCTATTTTCCTCATGCTACCCTTCCTCCACCCAGTTTAAAGTTACGCTGCCTTTCGGGTCTTGAGCTCCCTGCATCCCCGATGTGGTGGGTTCAAGGCATCTAAGAAGTGTAAGTGTGTTTGTGTTTGAGCAGTGTTGATATTGGTTGCCATGGCACCATTTCTGAGGGGATGTCCAGGAAGCGTGCAGTGAGGTGTTATTACAGGGCTTACACAGCTGGATATCTTGACCAAACAGGAGGGTTGACACTTCAGCCCAGTTAGGTGACAGACTTGGCCCAGTTCAAATATCTGTTTGCGCTGTGATGGAAGCTTTGTCACTTGAATAGTGTTAGCTCTGCACATTCTCAAAAGCAAAATATAGGATTAAGAGTAGGCTCCAATTTATTTTAAAAGATTTTTTGAAGGGTCATTAATTGTTGTTATTAATTATTTTTATGTGTGAACAGGGTTTTCTTCAGAATGTCTGGCTGTGATGTTTGCTAAGAATTGCAAAACACTAGAAGTTTAACTAACTAACTAAACTTAAATTGCGCAAGAATGCACAGCATCCCTATTTGAAAGTGGAATGACAGTGATGATGGTACAGTATAGTGCCATTGTGTGCATGCATGTCTGCAGACCTTGGTTTTGAGGATAGCACAGTGGCTAATATTAAAATTCACATTTATGTTAAACCTGTATTTTGACATTTACATGTTTTCCCTATGAGAAGAGGAATATGTTTAGCAGTCTTCTTGGCTAGCATACATAACCAGTTTAGTTCACAATTTTAACAACTTTACATTCAAAGCATGATCAGACAGGGCCACGTGCACCCATATTGTATTGACTTCCTGTAAGCTGTAAAGGAAGGTATGAGGGTCATGCATTCAGCACCCATAATGGCGTTGTGTTGTGTTTGCATGCCTTTGCTATTTGGATTGTTTGTAATGACTACTGTCATAGTTAGAGTTTGGAAGGGGAGTCAACCAAACATCTCTTGTTGTGCAGTGTCAGGAAAGTGGCTCTCTACTATTGAACTATTAATCAAACTCCATAACTGTTCATAAGACAGTGACCTGTAGAAAATGAATGCAGATGGTCTATTATTTGTATCATATAAAAGGCAAATATTAGTCTGGATTATGAGTATACAAGTGGTCCATATGTCCTCAATCATCTTTCTATAACATTCATTATGTTTACAAAATGTAATGTATACTGTCACTCTTGGCCTGTTGTTAACGATGGCATTGCAACAGCAGCTTTCTCTGTGAACACCTTAACACCCAGACAACTGTAAAGTCGTACAAACCGCACATTCTGTAACAGTGTTATGTGCCCCTTGTCTCTTGAAGAGCAAGACGCTGCAGTTCGTACTGGTCCTAGTGTCAAAACATGCTGCACTGCTGGCTGAGTGCCACCTGCTTTTGTTGGCATCAGTCTTGCTGAAGTGAGGCTGGTGGGTATTTGAGTGACCGCTGTCAAAACTGAGCATTAACACGTAGTCTCTTTGTTATGCCGACTTGTGGCCAGATAGTTATTCTTTGGCACTGCCTCTCATTTTTGCAACCTGCTGGCTATACAACTTCCTGTTAATTTGTCACACTTGTAGCACACTTGTCTAAGATTACATCTTGGCTACTAAATGGACCAGTCCTATTTTCTTGCTGTATGTTGAGATGCTGCTTTGGATCATCTGTTAATTTAATGTGTTCAAGTCCTAATTTAATCTGTATAGTCTCTTTTGATCCCTGTCAGTGACATCAACCCTTAAACATATGCCTTTATTCCCTGTGGAAGAACACTGATAGACAGCACTCCACCCGGAGCCCTACAGGACTATCCATCTGATGATGGATTTGCTACATGTCAGTGTCTCATATCCCTCATGGAGATTTATCATAGACCTCTTCAAAGATATAAGACACTCTGTCCACAGACCTTTAAGAACATGATGGACCATGCCAGTGTGGGCTTTAATCTGGATCTGCCCAGCTGATGGCAAGCCTTTGGGAGTAGAGGAGCACTTGGAGGGCTAATTAGGCCAGAGGCCTGGTTGATTGAGCTCTTCACAGGCTGCTGTTGGCACCCAGTGTTATAGGGTTCATTTATTAGATCAGAGCCTCAGTTGGCATCTTCTCACAGAAGAATAATGGTTAAGTGTGTGTGTGTGTGTGTGTGTGTGTGTATGTATGTATGTATATATATATATATATATATATATATATATATATATATATACACATATAGACTAAAGTCTCTAATGACAGTAAAGAGGGCATCATATCCAAATGGTCATGCTGTCAAACTGGCTTGTAAAACCACTGTTTACTTCAAAACTCAATCCCTAATACTATCCTAATGTTTCTTTTACATGTGGTGCTTGGATTAGAGCCCGGCTGATATATCAGAATCACCCAGATTATTGTACAATTTTATTTTGTGACAGATATGATGCTATTATTGTTTATATTGGCTGAGCAAGAAGAAGAAGAAGTTGTAGACAAAAAAATTGCTTAAAATGATTTAGAATCAGTGTTGCAATTAAACAGTTTGTCCACTAGAGAGCACTTATAAGTATATTTTCAACTTTTAATGTTACATAGAGCACACATTTGGTCACAGTTCTTTAATAATTACTGTTTATGTTATATGCCCATATTCAAAAATGACACAAGATATTGATTGATTTTTTAAACTAAACCAATAATATGTTTATCAGTGTCAAAAATCCTGTATTTCTTAGGAATAGGGTGTGTTTATACCCTTTGTGCTGCCTGGCAGTGTGGTGCTTTCTTATCATACTTTCACTTGAATATACTCCATTGTTTATTTTATTTTATTTTTTTGTCCCTCCCTCCTCTTGTGCCTTGACAGCTGAGAGTCACTGTCTGGTCCCTGTGCACCAAAGCTGTGTCTTACATCAAGTATCCCAAAGCATGTCAGAAGGGTGAGTAAGAGAATTATATTGTTTTATTTATTTTCTCATGGCTTATGAGTCTCTGTATGAATCTGTATTACCAGGACTACCTGAGGACAGGGCCAGGGTCTGAGTGCCTCAGCATGTCCCATGAATCACATGCCGTTCTTTACCTTGTGGCACGACCCTGGGTACGTTGCCAGACTACGGTCCTCTCTGCTGACAGCTGTGCCCCTCTTCAGTAAATGGGGCATGCTCTTCATAACAGGCCTGTCAACAGCTAGGGGAAAAATGATTGTCTATGACTCTCCCCATTTTCCACATGCAATACTATGCCCTTCTGCAACCTGTGTATTCTCACAGCCGTTATATAGGTAATATGACCATGATAGTTACATACCACCGACCTGAAGTGTCAGATAATTAAATTGGATGAAATACACAGGAAACCATGAGGTTACATATTCAGGTATCAGAGATGTTTTGATCAAAAGCAAATTACTTTTTTTGTCAGTGTGTTTGTTTATTCTTTGCTGCTGCTGAGGACTCAACTTTTATTAGTGTTAATTAAAGTAGGCAACTGAATATTAAAACTGCTATTGTTTGATACCTGTTTTACAAGGACTGTACTATACCACTGTGTCAAATTTAAGCATCAAACCTGACTAATGCGGGTCTTTCTAGGTAGTTTCTTTCTCTTTTTTATTTCCAAACGTACTATATTTTTCAGTTCAACTTTCCCATTACAGTGTCAATGTCATTGTAAGCCCTTCATCATAATTGTGCCATATGCCACAATTGGTAGTTGCCTGTAAAATTGCAGCTTTCATCCGTCGTCTTTCATCCGCAGGTATAGAGTTCAGCAGAGATGGCTGCTATATGGCCTTGGCTGAGCGCCGTGACTGCAAAGACTATGTTAGTGTTTTTGTCTGTGACGACTGGCATCTACTCAGGGTAAGTGGAGCATTGGAATTTTGCTTGAGTTTTCTGACCCTACAGTATATATGTACTTAAATCTTCAGTAAGCAACAGTGGAAGAAACCTAGATTTAGCTAACCAGAAATATTGACAGATTCAACCTGTGACAGTAGAAATATTATATATGAATTCTTTGAAATTGTCATTAACCAAGATGGAGACTACACTTTCATCATTCAAGATGCCATGCAGATGCATTCAGTGACACAAAGACACTAACAAAAGTTTTTTATTCAAATTCGATGAGGTTGATGCTTTTTGTTTTTTTGTTTTTTGAAAATCCCAAACCACTGTCTTGATTGTACTGGCTTTCAGAAAGAACTTTGTCACTGTGTTTTTTTTTTTTTTTTGTTTTTTTCTTATTTATCTCTGTCATAGCATTTTGAGACTGAGACGCAGGACCTGGCAGGGTTGGAGTGGTCTCCTAATGGCTGTGTGCTGGCAGTGTGGGACAGCTGTCTGGAGGTGAGTCAGCTGCCTTACAGACATAAGATTCAACAAGAAAGGTAGATTAACCATCCTAACAACTTTGTTGAGCTGTTATTCTTTCTGCTCCAGTGGATCACCATATAAGGTGTTAGATGAAAAATAAAGCTGTAATCGTAATGAAAATGCACTACAGTTTACAAAAGCCTTTTGACAAGGTGTCGCATACCTATTGTGTTTTGAAGGAATCACCTGTTATTGTGTTGCATCCTTATGGTCAAAGTACAACATTTAGCAAAGCCCAGTGCAACATAAACAGAAGACAAGTACTGTTGCTTCATGTGTGTGTATCCTCTCCGCAGTACAAGGTGTTGCTGTACTCTCTGGATGGCCGATTGCTGTCAACTTACAGTGCCTATGAGTGGTCACTGGGTGTCAAGTCTGTGACCTGGAGCCCCAGCAGCCAGTTCCTGGCCATCGGCAGCTACGATGAAAAAGTATGGACAGACGTTTAAAAAATGATGCCTGAGAAATAAGATATCACATTGTTAGCTTGACACAACACAAGCAACAAGTATTGTTGAAAAGCAACTTGTCTTAAAAAGAATACTCCACCGTTTAGCGTTATACTTTTATAACATTGTTTAACTCATGATGGATAGAAAAAGTATCAATTATTTTCAAACTTCAGTCCCAAATGATGCTGACTCCGCAGTGACGTCACTTGAGGCACTTTATCAGATTTCCACAAAACTACCTTGTGCCAACTTTGGTCACATATGCAGTAGTGCTCCCCAAGACCTTGATATGTAAAATTTTTGTGTAAAGTTGCCATTTAAGAACTTGAGTAATTCATTTGTGTAAATAAGAAATAGTATTAACTTAAATTGTCACACATGTCTAGACTATGATTTTTTTGTGCAAATGTCAATATCAGTACAGTGCAATAAAATGACAAAAGACGTTAATATCATCATGTCAGGTGCGCATCCTCAATCACATAACATGGAAGAAAATTGCACAGTTGGACCACCCTGCAACCATCAACTGCACAAAAGCTGTGAGTATTTTCCAGGTCTTCCAGATGAGTCTTGAAGGCATTGCAGTTCAATTACTTAATGACTGTTGTGTTTCTAGGTTGTGTATAAGGAAGTGGAGAGAAGGCCAGCTGTTGGCAGTGACGACCTGTCACTACACAACATCACAATTGGCACGACCCTCTTCAACACCCAGAGCAAATGTACGTCTGCTTTTTCCATTATTTAAAAAGATGAGTTCAAGCTTTTCCAAACACAAAGTCAAATTTGTTTTTGCCTCATCCAGATGAGATCTGTCCACTGCCAGTCCAAATTCCCGTGGTCAAACCAGACCCAGACCGAGCCAACCCCAAGATCGGTGTCTCTAACTTGGCATTCAGCTCAGACAGTCGCTTCCTAGCTACCAAAAATGGTAAGACTTCACAGCTGTTCAGCTTTACCTTCATGGTGAGCCCAAGACAACTTTATTATATGTATAACAGTTTTTCTCAATCACTTTGGTGCAATTCCGGCTTCACCACTTCTCACCACTCTTAATGGAGTTCTCAATACAGTTAATGCATTTCTAACAACACTAAATGACCTGTGAAAAAGCTTTTAAAACAATCAAAACCTTGTTCACATGTGTCGAAACATGCAAAGTCAGTCGCTCACTTCAACACTGTCACCAATGAATCAAACCTTTTCACCAGAGCTTCAAGATGCCAAATGTTTTGATATCTTGATAAAAACCATACCGACTTTCTGAAAAAGAGTTCTGCAAAAAATATAAAGTAAAAAATATTCAGACACAGCAATGAAATGTGAATAATATACTCTAACTATGAGAGAGGCTGGACTGAGTCGGTTTACAGTGGCATCCATCAGAGATGAGAGATATGCACCTGTCTAATGGCTACTCCAGTGTTACTGTACAATATGTATTGGTATTGTATTACATACATTCCTATATATGTTAACAGTAACCTAACCTATTACCTATATATGACAACAGTAGCATTTTGGAAAATAACTATTGTTTCAATATTGCATTGGTGTCTACTGTACTGTGTACATTTCAACCCCTCTCAGCAGATTACTGCACTGTCCCTTTAGAGCACTGTATGGAAATGTATATACAAGCCTATGGAAGACAGAAGAGCTTTAGATTTAGAACATGGTGTATCCAGAAATTCACTATAAGGACAAAAGTGTTGGTCATTTGATTTTTAGATGTGTTTATGATATTTTCAATGCAGTGTTTAGTTTTGCAGCAGATATGAGGTACTTTGCATTTTGTGTGCAATTTCGTTTTTTTGTGTAGAGTTTTGAAAAAATGAGACGTAGGTTAGAAAATGTGTGAAAGCAGTTGTACAGAAAAAAAAATCGTAAAAAACAAAAGGTGTAACCCTGAACCCATGGAACTCATGTCAATCGGAAATAGACAAAGAAACATATGCACATCAAATCGTATAAACTCATAGGGCATGCAATTATGTTAGGTAAACTTCCACTATTCACACAGTATGTGTCGTATATATATATTATATATAGTATACTAGTACTATACGTATGTATATCATCTCAAAGCGACTTTAGTATAGCTTCAGGGTGCAGTGAGGACACCGCTTTAGTGTAAATATTAAGTACGTACCAGTATTGAAGTTACTAAGTTTTAAAAGAGTGCCAAGGAATTGTTTTAATGGAATTAATTAGTATTAGGTTTTAGACATGTGAGGGGTCTTTAAGGAAAAGGATCTAGCTCGCCTGGGAAGGAGATGAGTTTTCGAGGAGGTGAGAGAGTAGAGAGGGGGACCGCGCCTTTGCTTCTGGAGGGAAATTGGGTAGTTTGGTTCCACCATCTCAGAGGGATAACCCGGACGGGATTTGAAGAAGGTCTGGTACAGTGTGGAGATCACCCTGGATTGTTTGTGTGTGCATGCGCCCACGTGCGTGTTGCGCGTGGCGTGCATGTGTGAGAGATGGGAAGGTCTTGCTCTCTCAGTACCATGATTTGGGCATTAGGAAAGTTTAGTGCATAGGAAAAGTAATTTGATGATTAAAGGCCCCTCTTAGCAGATGCAGGGGCCTTATCACGAGTGAGTGGTTCTGTCAGTTCTTATCTGTATGAGGTTAACTTAACCTGTTTTCATTGATCGCGACCTCGAGATTGTCAGAGCTGGCCGATGAGCAAAATTTCATCAATATCACATGAGAAAAACGTCCTTAACGGTCAGTGAAGTCTTATGGTGCG